AAAAACATTTCAATACTTTTTCTTGTAATTATATCGTTGGGTAAGTATAGGAGATTGTATATAAATTGCGGGCATCAGGGAACCGCTATTGAAACCGCTTTTGATTGCGCGCTCTCATTTTACTTTCACTTTTGAGATTCGCGATCACAAGGACTCTATACTATGGAGCGGGAGTACTTACCACACATTTGACAAGATTAGATGTTTGTCATTGGTACTCAGGATCTGCAAATCATTCGCCATCGTCCTATCAGACATTTCTCCTTACTCTGTGTATGTGGTAAGTGAACTTTCATGTACTGTAATGCAACAGGCTACTGCTAGCAAGCGGCTAACCTTTTAGTGGCTCCTTAAAACGTGTTATTTGTTTCACGCTTCGGGCACCCCGCCCCGCCCCCCGATGTCATCGTCCATCATGATGTTTCAATGTTGACATCGTCCGATGCCAATTTGGTAGACATCGCCCAACCCTAGTGGCTATACAGTTGCTAAGGTGATCTGAGTGGCACAGTTTCAAGGCATCATTCATGTTCAAAGAGGCAAGATGTAGACCAAAGTTTAATACTTTGCAATGCACAACTACTTTTGTTCATACTTAACAAGCGCCACTATCAAACGCTTTACTGTATTTGCAGACAATGTAGTTGAAGAAAAGATTGAACCACGCCTTCTGCAAAATTTGGTGTTCTGAGTGGTTTTAGTTTGTTCAAAGGTTCAAAGTTTATTATAAGCCCAAAGGGCAATTATTGGTTGCTATACAGTTGCTAAAGGCTGGAATACACTACCCGACTCTTAACAGATTTTAAAACACTGGGCATCATACACTAAACAACTGAGGATCACACACTACCAGACTTTAAAATCGTTCAGATCACAACAAACTTAAGCAGAAATGTGTGTCTTGTTGCTAGGAGATGCTTAACAAATGAAAACAACATGTGTTCTAAAACTGGTTCAAAATATCAAACATGTTTGATATCCACCGACTGGATGGATTCATAGTCTGAAGCTAAAAAATCGGAGTCATAAACTGCTGGTTTTTGTATGAAATCTGGCAACTAACAAAATCTGCAGACTGGCTTTGACTTCAGCAACTAGCGTCAACTTCTAAAGTTGTGTAGTGTATTCCAGCCTTAAGGTGTTCTATGTTTAATGCTTAAGGCAAGGCACAACTACTATTTCTCATATATACTAAGTTCCATTATCAAAAGCATTACTGTATTTCAAAACAGTGAGGAAGTAGAAGAAAAATTTGAACCACACCTTCTGAGGAATTTGATTTGAAAATATATCATAAACCAGTCAAACAAGGAAAAAGATCTTCTTGATACGGTTACCTCCCACATATACCCACAATGAAGTAGTGAGAAGTAGTCACTGATGTTAGGTTTATGATAACAAGCTTACTTCTGTAATTCATCAGAGATAATGCTTTGATATAATGTTCTAAATTAGGACATTTTCAGTACCAAAATGAGTCCTTATAGTTAGACTGGTTAGCTTACTTTAATGTGGGCTGTACAACATCATCCTGTCAAACCGTGCCAAAACAGCTGCGATGGTGTGATCCGCACAGGGCCCGCCTTCATTTTGATAAGCAGAAGGCTCATGTTTCGCCCTCAGCGGCTTCTCCCGCTCCATAGATCAACCTTGAGGAGCAGGAAGTGTAAAAGTGAAGAATAGAGTCTTTGTGTTGACTGAAAACACTGATGTCCTCTGTTGCCTTCAACAGGTACAAAGTTCAGGCTTTGTGACCAATCACTGTTAGAGGGAAGATTTAATGAATTTGTATTTGAAAGAAAATACCCTCCCCTGCCAGTTAGCATAGCCAGCACCGGTTAGTGAAGGCCAGGTGTGTGGGATCTTTATCCACAATGCGGTTTCGATCAGGCTGTGTATGTGCTTGAGACAAAAAGAGAATGCCGGATCATATTTAAGCACTGTGAGATTTAGTGACGCATCCAATGTTACTTCTGTCGTATGAGCAATATGAGACTGAACTGATGTATTGAACTTTTTCTTTGTTTTGTAGAATTTCAAGATGCAGCGATTTTTGAACTCCACTGTCCCGTTCTCCCACATGGCCCAAAGAGATATTAAAGCTCTCAACTGCCCCGGCTCGAGCCCAGCCTCTCGCACAGAGAGCAAAGCAGGAGAGCTAGACAAAATACAACACTTGAGTAACTACCTCAAGAATGTCTTGTATCATGGAACTGCCGACCATGAGTGGACACACAGGACAGAGAAACAAACGATTATTGCACAGGCAGAGTGTAAGTACTGATTTAAAGAGACTCAAACAGAGGAACTCATGATGATTTCTCAGTGTTTTTTTCCAAATATAGATTTGGGCTAAATTGTTTCCCTTTTCCACAGGTGAGTCCCAGGATTCACAGGAGTTCTGCCCCAATGGCAGGTAAAGTCATTATGTTTCATTATGTTCTCTTTTAATACCAGGAATTAATATATCACTGCAACTTACTTATGTCTTCATGTGTTCGGACATATATTTTCCACCACAAAATGGTCGCATTTTAGCATCTCCTCCCAGTCGCTTCTTGGCACTTTTTCTCGCAGTCGGCCCAGGAAGAAGCGGCATAAGAAACATCGGCGAAAACGGGGTGAGAAGGACAGCCGAGCGAGCGAGTCTGTGGAAGTCACCGGAGTGCCAGAACAGGACAGCGGCGAGTTCCATTCATCATCTCTTATTCAGGTTAGACCGAATTAATTGCTGTAATTGTCATAGAGCTGAGGGGAGTGCATCAAACAAATTGGGTTGAATTTAATAAAAGATATATTCCACGGCTTCATATTAGAATCTTTTGTTGTTTGCTTTTGGGATCTGATAAAGCGCTTGGACCCAGAAAAGGTGACGTGTGACTTCAGACAGACTTAACAATGTTATTAAGATAACTGTAGTTGTAACATTTTAATAATCATTCTAATTCCAAAGTCCACACCACAGCTATAACGATAACGACAGAGGAGCGATATCATTGGAATTGCTTTTAGAACATGTTTTCCCATCTAATGAAAAATAAAAAAAATTGTCTGCCAGAGTGGTGCAGACGCTAATACAATAATTTAACATTATAGTTATTGTTCTTGGTGTGAACAGGCCTTAACTCTGTTATTGAACTAAGCAGTTGAATCCAGCAGAATCTGACATTACCATGTTGCTAAGATAACAGCTTGAAACTATTAAGCATTACAAAGTGAACTGAATTAGTGCTTTTTTTTATAAAATGGCACAATTTCTGTTGATACTGTTCAGTAGTGAATAAAAAATTGTTATTTACTACTTAATAATTTTTGAATGCAAATTTTCACTGATCTTATCACAATGCACCCTGGGATTATGTAATGCATGAGGGATGCATGAGATACCGCCTTAGATTTTCTCTGTATCTCACCAGCGTAGTTTTGCTGATGTCTGAAAATGTTACTTAGGTTGGAAGCACTGTTTTCAAACTGAATATATATATATATATATAGACTATCTGTTGATTTAAAACTAGACCGTTGTCTCAGCTGTGTTTATATTATGTCCCAGTGGGAATTGAGTGATTAGCTAATGATTGAGTCAAACAAAGCTCGTCTTTAGCTCTCCGTAGAGGCTTGAAGCATTTTACCTAAGGGACACATTTACAGGTCCAAATGGAATTTTTCCTGTTATCAGCATTGATTTTATACAGTGCTTTTCAATGACTTTCTCTCTAATAGTCCAATCAACTTTGTTGTGTCCTGTTGTTTCAGGTTATAGATCCTGTGTGCATCAGCAGCAGTATCAGTAGTACTACATACAGCAGCAGTGGCCTCAGCACGGAGAGGGTGTCTGTGCAGGAAACAGAGGGCCCGTCAAACCCTTATCAGTGGGAGTCCCAGCAGACCTCCTTACTGAGCCTCTCCTCCTGCCAGAGCTACGGCCAAGAGAGTGAGGAGCTGAATTCTCCCCTGAGAAGTGAGACTGAATGCCCTCTGGCTGCTACGGCCCTGAGGAACTTTGTTACAACTGAAGATCCCTGCTTTGCGTACTGCTTTGTCAAAGATGTGCTGAGAGAGGAGAGGGAGAGGGATGATAAGGACGAAAGAGAGGAGAGCGACAAGAATGAAGGGATCCTGTTCAAAGAGGTGATTTTAAATGGCATTTAAAACACATGACGTTGAAGCATGTTGAAATTGACACATGTGTGAACTCATACCGAAAGAGCATGATGCATAGATGTGTTGTCTTGCACGCAAAGATCCAAATTTACATACAAGTACACAACCTAAAAGTCATACAGGCACACGCAACCTGAATCTTCTAGAAAGACAATACAGATAAAGACAACATAGGCTTACTAATACAGAGAGGAAGAGAGAGAGAGAGTGAGAAACTCAAGCACACATGCATGCATGTGTTCACGTAGCCCAAGTTGACTTGCGGTCGTCGATTTCCTGTTTTTCTTGCTTTCAGTGGGGTTTCGTGTTTACCTCACCAGCCTAGTTCTGCTTAGGGAGTTTCCTTTCAAATAGAAATAAGCAAACAGTAAAAAACATCACTTCACACACTTACTGTGCTAGTCATGTGCTCTGAATTATGACATTTTCAGTAGTTCTGTAGAACCTTTTAACAATTAAGTAATAAACATGCATCAGTATTGAAATTATGGCCTATAACGATATACATGATAGATACCATAAATCTATAGTAATTTGTTAAAACATATTAAAATAAAACACTAAAATAAACTAAAATAGCTTATTTAGCCATCACAATATTATAAGGTACATTATGAAAGATGGATAAATATTTACTGCACTTTTCCAAGGAACATTAATAAAGTTGTTTTACTTTTTCACGAAATTAACTTTTTTTTTTTTTTATGAACAAACACACTAAAAATAATTTAGCTATATACTGCCGTTCAAATCTTTGAGGTAAGTTTTTTTTTTAAAGAAATTAATACTTTTGTTCAGCAAGGACGCAGTAAATTGATCAAAATTGGCAGTAAAGACATTTATAATGTTATAAAAAAATATATATTTTAAATAAATGCTGTTCTTCTGAACATTTTATTCGTCAAAATTTTCTAAATTGATGATAATAAGAAATGTTTCTTAAGCACCAAAGCAGCATGTTAGAATGATTTCTAAAAGATCATGTGACACTGAAGACTGGAGTAATGATGCTGAAAATTCAGCTTTGCATCACAGGAATAAATTGCATTTTAAAATATATTTAAATACAAAACATTTATTTAAAAATGTAATCATATTTAATGATATTACTGTTTTTTTCTGTATTTTTGATCAAATAAATGCAGCCTTGGTAAGCATAAGAGACTTCTTTTAGAAATACTACAAAAACCCAAACTTAATACAAATAACCCCAAACTTTTGAATGGTAGTGTAGTTACATGCACACACAGATAACTAGATATTAAATGTTATATATTATAATTCTACGCTTTTTCTGTCTAAATAAATAAAAAAATAAAAGTGAATTTAGGTATTAAATAATTTTTATGTACAAAATGCAAAATGACAAAAAAGGTCATCTAAATGTAAAAAAGGGGAATTGCATGCTGCGATGTGATGAACACAGTAGCTTGTTATATGGGTCACTATATTGTGTATTGTAACATGGCTTGAACACCATATTTGCCAGTCAACATCCATAACATCATTTGACATCAACATCTCGCATCCCTTTTTTAGGGGCTACAACCAGTGAATTATGAGTACAGAGAGGGACGGGAGTATGAACGCTGTAGATTTCTCAAGCAGGGCTCCTTCGGCGAAGTCTACAGCATCAAAGACAAAGGCACCGGCTTCATGTGTGCTGCCAAAAAGGTATTTGTGCCCCCATTTCTGACTGATGGCACTGCTGGTTTTCAAATGCAAGTTACTGTCTGTTGATGTGTGGATGCTCGTGTGTGTGTTTTCAGGTGCCGTTGGTGAGTTTCAGCAGTGAGGAGGTGGGCTCGTGGAGTGCCCTGCAGTCTCCTCAGGTGGTGGAACTCTTTGGTGTGGTGCGTGAAGGTCCTTCCATCATCCTTTTCATGGACCTTAAATCCAGTAAGTGTTCAGAAGCGCCTTCGTAGACACACGACCTCTTCATTTGTGATGATGGATGGAAATGTTTGACTTGGCACTCTCTTCAGGTTCTCTAGGACAGCTGGTGGAGGAACGAGGCCGCCTGCCAGAGGATCTGTCCCTGCACTACCTTCAGCAAGTACTGGGGGCACTTAACCACCTGCATAGGAAGCGGATCCTTCACCTGGACATCAAAGGTACGTCCAGAGTGAGGGCTGGATAGCTAAAAAGGCCACTAAAGCATTTAATTGGTCGAGAAGGGTGGAAGCTATGTGGAGTCTTAAACGTCAAAAGTCAAAAAGCTTGAGCATTTGTTCTGTCCTCTCTTCACTAATCTAGACTGTCTCTGTTTCATTTGTGTGGAAGGATGACATGATATTGACATTTAATGTCTCCATGTTATTTGTGGAAAATGGAAAAATCACAAGTGAGATTAATATCGCAATTGTTTCTTCTAAACAGCAATTGAGATTAAATGTGGAAGAAATTGAGACTTTTTTGTGTGAAATAAAATGACCCTTGTAATCTCACATCTCCACATGTCTCAGAGATGTGCCAAGATATCAAAATTCAGCATTTTAATTAAGTTTAAGTTATAAAATTACTAAAACAAAAAAAGTAGAAATATAAAAAATCAAATAACATTGACAAAAGCACATAATAAAATTATTAAAACGGAAACTAAAATTAAAATGAAAACTGAAAATGAGCTAATAAAAATAAAATGAGCTAAAAAAAAAAAAACTATAATAGTGTAAAAATAACACTGACGTGTACTGGTGGACTCCATGCCTCTATGAGCTATAAAAGAGTAATATATGTGCAATAAAATTGCCTTATGAATTGAGTCTTTTCAAATTGACTACAGAAAACACTAAGCAAATGACACGTTTTTTAAAACAAATGTGTTACGTAGAGCCATAAGCAATTTGAAGAACTACAGATTTGCTGCTGAGGAAGTTGATTCTAATGCTGTGTTTTGTGGCTGGCTTTAGTTGTTTTTCTGGGGAATAGGGTGAGACAAACAGCACCTGTGGTGAGAGAGAGGAGATCAGAGTACAATGTGAGCAAGCCAGGGCTGGGAATTTCCCGCAGCATGACTCATGTGGTTCAGATGAGGGGGGAGGGAGAAGAGACAGTGAGATCAAGAGAAAGCCACTTAGACACTGCCTGAAGAACTGACCATACATTATGCAGATGGACACCAGAGATTAAATGAGCAGCTTTATGTCTTTATAAGCCATTCAGATTAATAAAGGGCTGTTCAATTCAAGCAAGCGGTAAAACAAACCTTTCTACGTTGACATCTACAGCGCCATCTGCTGTCCAAATAGTCTGATTAGCAGTAATTTAATCTATTTTTTTTTGTCTTTTTTTTTTTCTTCAGTTGACAAGTTGTGGTTTGCAATGTAGAAACTGAAAGTCTCACACACTCCAGTTTTAACTTTTCCTGGAACCAGCCAATCACCACTTCTAGAGCAGAGACTTATGGGAAGAGATGTGCCCACTGACAGACATTTATTTTGTAAATACACATCGCTAGTCTTATTGGGCATGATTCAACAGTATTGCATTATGAAAATAGATGTAATGAAACAGCTTTTGTAATGACTCGCGCTTGTATGGGTTACTAGTTAATGTTAACTAGTAGTCAGATAACTATGTAGGGCATAGTTTTGGGTTAAAGTATTTGTACAGTGTATATAGGTACTGCATCCATTCTGAAATCTTACCAGTAGATAGAGTTAAGTAATTTAATGCTTGAGGTGTTTCAGGAGGGGGCGAATGTATTTGAATACCTTTTTTCACTCAAAGGAACTACTGTTCAAAAGCTTGGGGTTGATAAGATTTTTTATCTTTTTAAAAAGAAGTTTCTTATGCACAACAATTATGCATTTATTTGATCATTTTGTACATTAGTACAACAATTTTGTATCATTTGTACAACAGTTACATTTTAAAAGCTCACTTTGTGTTTTCATGTTTGTAGCGGATAACATTTTGCTGTCAGAAGATGGGAAAGATGCATTCCTGTGCGACTTTGGATACTCCGAGAGATTGGACAAACAAGGGCTTAGTTATTGTAAGAGTAAGTACATTTCATAAGAGCCTCAAACACATATTTCAAGTGAACATAGACACATACATAAGTTGACCAACTAATTTTGTATGCGTTTAGGTCTGAAAGGCACAGAAACTCATATGGCACCTGAGGTGTTGCTCAATGAGCCGCGCTCTTCAAAAGCAGACATCTGGAGCAGCTGCTGTATGCTTCTGCACATGCTCAATGGCTGTCATCCGTGGACCCGCTACTATTCCCGCCCACTCTTCCTCAAGGTAAGCTACGACTGGGAACTGTTTAAATAAGCCCTTCCCACTTTTAAAGTCACATTTTATTTTATTGAATGTTTTGTGACACCTACAAGATTTGCATTCACCAAACGCTTAAGAAGTATTGTTTGTGTTTGTATCGTGACAGATAGCAGAAGAGCCTCCGCCACTGAGGGAAATTCCATGTGACTGCAGCTCCTATACAGCAGATGTCATAAAAGCAGGACTGCAGAAAGATCCAATCAAACGAGCTTCTGCCAAAGAACTTTTTGTTAAAACTGCTAAAGCACTTAAAGGAGGTAACAATAAATAATCATGAAACATATACAAATGCCTGTATATTCAATTTTATTCAATTTAAAAAACAAATCAATTTATTTGCAGTCGGGGGACTTCGCAGCCGCGCGAGAGGAGGACCCTATCAGAAGCCACTAGGGAAGCCAGAGAATCCAGACCCCACCTATTCAGCCACACCCCCCACATCCCATCAAACCACGTCCTCTGATAACTCTGAGCTGCAGTGGATGAGCTCGGAGCACAAGAGGAATGTGGGTAATGGGGAACGTAATGAGAAGCCAGAAAAGGTAAAACAGTGGAAACAGACAGAGGAGACAAGAAACGATGACCACTGTCCTCCAAAGTCACTGCTCCACATTCAAAACACTTCACCTGAGCCGCGGATCATCAATAAGACCGAGCCGGAGCCGGAACAAGAGCTGAGGAGACTGGAGAAAGGTAAGCCACCATCTGATCAAGTCATATTCATAGCGGCTAGCTTTACGCTGTTCTTCAGATTCATAGTAGCTGTATTTCCATCCCAGTTGTGAATTTAATTTATGTAGAAAATCATAGAAACAGTTTGCAGATTGTTTCCATTGTCACTTCTGGGAAAATTGGTACAAAATAATAGAAATGGAATTTGAAGCCACTTCACTTCTTTTATTAAACACACTATTGTACAAAAGTTTGGGTAAGATAAAAAAAAACACTTTTATTCCGCAAATAACCGTTTAATTGATCAAGTGACAGTAAAGACAATTATAATGTTACAAAATAACACCCTGAAAAGATCATGCAAAAACGTATCACTTTCCACTAAACTATTAAGCAGCACAACTATTTATAACAGAGATAATAATGAGAAATGTTTCTTGCTCATATCAGAATGATTTCTGAAGGATCATGTGACACTGAAGACTGGAGTAATGATGCTGAAAATTCAGCTTTTCTTCACAGGAATAAATTCTATTTTAAACTATATTCAAATAGAAAACAGTTTTAAATTGTAATACAATTTCAGAATTTTTATTGTATTTTTGATCAAATAAATACAGCCTCGATGAGCATAAGAGATTTCGATGAAAATAAATCTTACCAACCCCAAACTTCTGAACGATAATGTAGAATAAACACTATTTTAGATGTGAATTATTTGAGACTTGAGATATTGTAGGATTTTATTTGTTAAATGTGTTCATATAGTAATTTATGCACATACAATTGTATCCACCTCAAGCGAACATATATGTTTTATATATATTATTTGCATTTTGGTGTCTTCGTTTAGCATTTTTGTTTTCTATCCCATATCCCAAAATTAGCATCAAAAATATTAGGATGGAATCTCAGCTGCTGGTCAATATCCAATCTTGTGATTACAGCCATCTGAACTGTAGCATGTAACACATGTCTCACTCTCTCTGCAGATTTCTACCTGAGCAGTCTTTCCCTGCCTCATTCTGCTGAGCTACAGGAGCAGCTGCTCTCTTGTCTCTGTAGCGACTGCCCTTCCACTAGAGAAAACTTTGACAAGAAGGTAAACAAACTCAGAATGCTGAATATGAGGCAGCCTGTAATTACATTATAAGGACATTAAGAGTGGTGGTTAACTTCTTGACAACCATCACCTGTTGTTTGCTAGTAAAGCATCTCAGTTTAACCAATTACAACTTATTTGAAATTCAAAGTTTTTTTTCTCTCCTCCAGGATTCAGGACGTTGGTCAGTTGGCCCTGGCGATGACCTTAGCTCAGGCGTGTTTTCTTACAATAGTCAACAAGATGGCCAGAGCTTCAGCATGGACTGGCTCGCCCCCACGCATCAACCTCTGCCCCGCTGCTTTGATGGTGTGTGAACAACAACTGATTACTTTAGAGGAATGCAAAGCATCATTACATAACCAGCGGGTTGGCACGATACCAAACTGTTAGCAATCCATACCAGCATCAGTGAAATTTTGTGATACTCGATATCCCAGAAAAAAACAACAACAACATTATGCTATTTAAAGTGAAATAGTAATATAAATATTAACAAAATAACTTGAATCAATGGCATGTACCCTACCGTTCAAAAGTTTGGGGTCAGTTTTAAATGTTTTTTTGAATGTCTCCTATGTTCATCAAGGCTGCATTTATTTGATCAAAAATGCAGTAAAAAAGGCAAAATTTAGAAATATTATTACAATTTAAAAGAACTGTTTTCTATTTGAATATATTTTCAAATCTAAATTATTCCTGCAATATTAAAGCTGTATTTTCAGCATCATTACTCCAGTCTTCAGTGTCACATGATCCTTCAGAAATCATTCTAATATGCTGATTTTATTATCAATTTTTCTGCTACTTAATATTTTGGTGGAAACCACGATACATTTTCCAGGATTCTTTTAATAGACATTTCTAGCACATAACAGTATTTATTTGAAATATAAATCTTTTATAACATTACAAATGTTTTACTACCACTTAAATGCATCCTTACTTGCTGACCCCAAACTTTTAAAGTGTAGTCTAGTTTTTAAATACTTTTTAACAAAGACAATATTGTGTAGTAAAGTTTTTTTCCAAGTAATTACTCAATTATGTATAGTCAGTAATAAGGGGAAAAACGTCATTTTTATATTTTGTCAATAATAATATTTTATTAATATTATTAACAACAGCAAGTCTAGGGACATGTATATATTTTTTGACATCTGTCACATATTGGCACAAAACACAGTTAAGCTACAAGAACTTCCATTCACACATACCATTGGTATGAGATATTTTTAGATGACGATTTATTAGGGTTATTTGTGCCATGCTCACATCTGTTCTTTGTTTCTTCAGGGGTGGATGTTTATATCAGGGACTTTGACGGGAAATGCTTTCATATTCGGGAGACGCCCGGGGTGAAAGTAGGCCACGTTGCTAGAGGAATCAGTGATCAGGTAAACAGTGTGTGTGTATGTATGTATAGTGTGGTTATGCAGAGCACATTGGTTTATTTGCATTACTCTTGGTGCTTGCTAGAGGATAATATCTTCTCTCTCGGGTAGATCTCAGAGAACGTGTTCAGCCTGCAAACAGAGGATGGTTGCTTGGTGCCCCATGACAAAGAGGTCCTAGAGAACAGCCTGTTTTTGCGTTGTGTCCCGGCCCCCGACTCCAGCCACTATCATCAGTACGGACACAACCCCTGCTGCACGCTCGGCCCCAACTGCAAACTACCATGGAGCTGGAGGATCAGAGAGGGGGTGCTGGAGACTAAATACTGATCTCTCCATCCCCAATCAGTTTCTGTTAAGCACTCTGTTCCAATCAAAGTACGTTTGCATTGAATTTGTAATCGTGAATCTCATCTGTGCTTCTCACCTGTCAAACTTTTGAGCCATTTGCCATAGTATTGGTTTACATTCTTAGTATTTTCAAGTTGTTTTAAGTGACTGCAGATCTTTTGTTGTGCTGTGTTGTGTTGTGAAGATCATTGTGGGCCTTCATGGAGTCATTTCATGATTAATGGCAAGATTTTAAAGCCTTTAGCCGATCAAGTATATGCCTTAAACCCTGAGCACTTATGAATTAGTTTTCAATGTCAGTATGGCTTACCTGTGGGACGTAAAGATGCACATCAAAATAATCATTGAAGTCAACTTCCAAAATAAACATTGAAATAATCATTGATCTCCTTTCTAAGAATGTTTAACTGTTTTAAAGAATCCTTCAATAAATGTTTTTTTTTTTATGATAACATTACATGGAAGATCTTATTGTTGCATTAATGATTTGAATGCCAATCAAACATTTTGGAAGTAAAACTACAAAACAGACACATTACATCAGTGCAATTTTAGTATTATTTATTGCATTATGCTATTTATTACTATAAATTATTTTTATATTTTGCTTCATTTTAAGTTTAGTTCAGGTTTTAGTAATTTTATGTGCTTGTCATTTTTATTCGTTTTTGTTTTCAAAAATATTTCTATTTAGCTTTATTTTTTATTTAAGTTTTAGTGTTAGAAATGTTACTATTTCAGTTTAAACCACTAGTCTATAATTTATATAGATCAGTGACAACCTTAGTGGTCAAGGCAACATTTCTAATTTTTGTACGTTTTTCATCTAATGTTTACTTGTTTTATTTCAGCTTTATTTTAATTAACAAAAAATTAATAGTTTTAGTTAATAATGACTGCATTACGTACAATCAGAAGTTTGAACACGAGCTGATTTTTTTTCATGATTTTGAAGACGTTTTTATCTAAAAGCTGATGCTTAAATGCTTCCAATTCGTTTTTCAGACAAATACTTTTTATTTAGTAAATAGTATATAGTTTTTAACATTCACTGCATAATTCCTGTATATTCATTTCTTAGTTTTGATCCTTTACTATTATTTTAAAATGTGGAAAATTTAATAAAGAGTAACGGTTTCTCTACCAAAATTCACATCACACATTTATATTGAAATCCAGAAAAACTATTTATTGTTTCATTTTACATCTTACAAAACAAACTCATGGGCTCACACAGCAGACAGACTGCCTTAGGGTGCACAATTTTATACCAGTTTTCAAAGATGTAGAAAAAGTGGTGGCTAGTATCATAAAAAGCCCAAGGCACTGTCAACGAAATAATAAAAATTAGAAAAGTATGAAATTGTACCCAAACAACCAAAAGACAAAGAAACAGGTGTATAAAAAAGAACAATTGCATGTAAATGTAGGATAGTGGGTCTGGCTAACCATCGTAAAAATACAGTACTGAGAAACCTTTGCTGAGGGGAGAAGCTCAACTAATCGGCCTAGAAGTCCTGCAAGACCGAATGTTTGCACCAGCTGAAGCCAAACTAACTGCTTTTCGTCAAAGTCCCCACATGTGGAACGAATCTGCACCTGCATCTGAAGTCTTTGGTTTGTCAGGCAGGTCCTCCACTATTCTAAAAGGAAAATATTTGGTTCTGTAAGAAAACGTGATCATCGTGGCTCCGAGAAGTTTAATGCATTTAAGAGTCACTAGTATTGTCCATTCCTGTCATAGGAGGGCCTCGCTGACTAAGACAAGCCCACATACCGCACAACCAGAGTGCTGATTGGTTGGCTGCACAAAAAACATTTCATGAACTCTTAAGAGGCTAAACTTGTACTTTCAAGTACAATCAACTTCATAGACATTTCGCAGCCCCTATTCTGATGAACTATAGGAGACACTAAACAAAGAAAGGCGAGGAGGAATTAGGAAGAGGAGAAATTCTGAGCCCATTCCTACTCTTTCAGATGACAGTGGACTCAAAAAAAAAAAATATATATATAATAATAATTATTTTATTATAATAATAAAAATAATATATAATAATTCCATTTATAAGCTAACTGTTGACCAAATGTAATTTTGACTGTCATTACGCACAATTTAGGACAAAAAAATCAAAATATGAGAATATGAGACTCCTAACTTAGAAATTTCTGCATTGAGACAATGTCTATAAATTAAATCAAATACCAATCCAGTCTTTTATATAACCTAGACACTCATAAGCCCAAACTAAAAATAAATAGCTAAAATCAAGCCTAAACCTGAACTCTTACGCATTAGTCTCTGATTTTCAGTGCAAATGTTATCAAGGTTTAAAGTTGTAGATGAGAAAAAAAAAAATATATATAATAATAATTATTTTATTATAATAATAAAAATAATATATAATAATTCCATTTATAAGCTAACTGTTGACCAAATGTAATTTTGACTGTCATTACGCACAATTTAGGACAAAAAAATCAAAATATGAGAATATGAGACTCCTAACTTAGAAATTTCTGCATTGAGACAATGTCTATAAATTAAATCAAATACCAATCCAGTCTTTTATATAACCTAGACACTCATAAGCCCAAACTAAAAATAAATAGCTAAAATCAAGCCTAAACCTGAACTCTTACGCATTAGTCTCTGATTTTCAGTGCAAATGTTATCAAGGTTTAAAGTTGTAGATGAGAAAGAGCACAGGCTTCGCAGAAACAAGAGTGGCTCGAGACAGTTGCATCATGCTTGCTCTCACTCTTTCCTCCTCCTCTCTCTCTTTTGATTAGTTGAGGCCGTTTTCTCTACTCCATATCCCTTTCTCTTCCCCCTCATCTTTCTGTTCTTCTTTGCTGGTCTGTTTCACCCTCTGTTCATTGTCTCAACTCTCTCTTCTCGCGCTCTCCACCTTCCTGTCAGTCTTTTCACATTTTGCGGATCACCAACACTGTGGTGAGTACCCCAGCCAGGAAAACGCCGATAGTCTGCCATGTCGGGGTCCCGAAATAGGAGCGGATTCCCTCCTGAGGGAGTGGGGAAAAAAGGCAAGAGTGGGAGAGTATTCTAATATAGAGAATATACATACTTTAGCTTTCATCAAAAAAATTAAAAAATAAAATAAAACAAAATGCTTTCATAATATTTTATCAGAAAGTATTAGGTTCAATGATATTTCAGAATGTTTCCATGATAAAGAAAAAATATTTTAAACGGAAGAAAAAAATAATAATTTCAAGTTAAGTTCTTGAAATGTATTCTATTTGCTTTACATATTTTATTCATATGGTTTAAAAGTTTCTTTTAATGATATTTTCATGGTACTTTTTTTTTTTTTTTACAGATACCATGGATTATTAATTTAGAAATTCCATTAAAAAAAAATTTTCTCCTGACATAAAGTCAAATGGGTGCTCAGTGTCACTTGACCCTTCTGAAATCATTCCAATATGCTGATTTGATGCTCAAAAAACATTTCTCTTTAATATCAATGTTAAAACTAGTTGTGCTGCTTAATATTTTCGTGGAAACCATGTTATATTTTTTCAGGATTCTTTGATGAATAGAAAGTTCAGAAGAACGGCATTTATTTGAAACAGTAATCTTTCATCACTTTTGATCAATTCATTGCATCCTTGCAGAATAAAAGTATCAATTTCTGAAAAAATAAATGACTACAAACTTTTGAATGGTAGTGTATGTCTACAGTACTGCCTGGATATTTTGCTTCACATTATGGAAGTTAAATGTTCATGCTGTTTTGTGCATCTTGTTTATTGTGGCATCAGTGGATTTGGTAAAGGTCATTGTGGCCCGTGTTAAAATATCACATCGACACCTGAAGTTTCCCATGATTTTAAGGAAGTGATTGTATAAGAAAGCCACTGTCAAGACTTACCCATCCACCCTGTTCCCTGATCCAGTTAATAACGTGTTCCTGAATGTAGGACATAGTCCAGCTTATGATGGTTCTGATGATGTCAGGAATCCTGGTTGTAATAGCCTAGGAGTGCATGAATAAGAAATAAGACAAATACTTAAAACATCAAAACAATGCATTTCCATTTGAGATTGAGCTCGTGTAGGTCTTCACCTTGATGACAAGCCGACAAGCAAAGTAGAAAAGCGCCACCACTCTGCCCCAGTTGAACTTCCCATCAGAGAAGATCTCTCGGGCCACTTTCATGAAGACTTCTTGAGTTGGTTGAAGAGCAGGGTCATTTACCATACTAAACCAAAATGACAATGGAGAGGTATGGATGAGTTGCAGCACACTGCCATCCAGTGGGCATTTCCGAGCACAGCAGGTGACTTGGTACATAGAGACAGTTGCGATGTCGTCCACAATCCATTACCTCTGCAGATGCACATTTCCATCCAGCTCATCTCCAATCTGCTGTAAACACTGCCCAAGACGTTTATGGTTGGGGTCGCACAGCTCAACACCATCCAGCTGACTTCGGGTTACTTCAGCTTCGCTGTGCCCATGACGACGAACTCGTTCATAGACAAAGCTGCGAGAGATGGGACAAGTTGACAGAGGTAATGAACAAAAACAAACACAGAGAACATGGGAAGAAGACATAAGATGATACTCACTTATTGAGAAGTGCCGATCCCAAGGCAATTATCTGGTCATTGCCAATGCCTTCAAATATTGGAAATAATAATAATTAAAAACGATACAAAATCGTGAGGAAAGACACTTAGAGTAAACAAAAGGGATGTAAACTATACTCAAGTACAAATGTCAATACACAGGTTTAACAACACAGATGTGACCTTAAAAGAGAACAGATAAGCATCTGACAGTGGAATCGTTCCATATTGTTTGTGACATGACTCAGCAGTGCATGTATAAATCAGCACACATTTGGTTTCAGTTTCCTGGTGAGTAAAGTTGATGTAAAGAAACAAGTATGCAATGCATGAGCTGTCTAATGGAGAAAGAGACTCACTCAAGCTAAATCCCTCAAGTACATAACATAAATAACTCATTTTAAGTACCACATATTTAAATATTCAAATAAAACAAAAGACTTTAAATCTTCACTTGACACCAGCACAATACATACAGGCTATGTTGCAAAACTAGTGAGCTGCCTACCTAGACAGCATTTTGAGCATTACAGATACCTAGAAATGAAAATAAGCAGCTTGGAAACAAAATCCATTTCTGGTCTTATTTAAGTATTTAACTTTTTGTGTGTGTGTGTGTGTGTGTGTGTGTGTTTGGGTCAATTTGACCCATATTTAAATTGCATGAAACACTAGTTGAAATATTTATTCTTGAAATTTTGTGACTTTTTCTCATTTAGGGTCATGAATGCGCATGCAAAGTTTCTACAGATAGATGTGTTTTGTAAAGGCTGTACAAATTCTGTGTCTATAATGGTGTTGGGGTCAAAATAACCCCCATCGAATGGTTTCCATGAAATTAACCAAAATTCAAAACTCCGGTCTTGGCAAGTATTTATGTGAACACAGTCACTTAGGTCTTAAGTGAACGCAACATTTTGAGCATTACAGATACCTAGAAATGAAAAAATAAGCAGCTTGGAAACAAAATCCATTTCTGGTCTTTTATGTATTTAACTTTTTGTGTGTGTGTGTGTGTGTGTGTGTGTGTTTGGGTCAATTTGACCCATATTTAAATTGCATGAAACACTAGTTGAAATATTTATTCTTGAAATTTTGTGACTTTTTCTCATTTAGGGTCATGAATGCGCATGCAAAGTTTCTACAGATAGATGTGTTTTGTAAAGGCTGTACAAATTCTGTGTCTATAATGGTGTTGGGGTCAAAATAACCCCCATCGAATGGTTTCCATGAAATTAACCAAAATTCAAAACTCCGGTCTTGGCAAGTATTTATGTGAACACAGTCACTTAGGTCTTAAGTGAACGCAAACAGTTTTGGAAAAAAAATAAATAAACGAGAACAAAACTAAAAAAATGTGATTGATTACTTTATTCAATTTCTACCCTATTGTTAGACTAACCTACTAAAAAATTAAAGCACCGTTTTACGCATTCGTGTCTTTGTTTTATTGTATTTATTTGTCCTATTGTTTGTTATTTATTTGTCCTTATTTTATTACTGACTATTTAATTGTTTACTTCAATAATTGCCTGTAGCAATAAATGTGATATTTCACTAGCATTTAAAATTACAACATAAATGTTACAACATATGCATGTATTATATTCGTGAAATAAAATTTCTCACATTATGAAATACGATTTTGATCATATCATCCACACTTAATATATAAATATTATAATTTGGGGTCAATTTGACCCCATGACACAAACGGAGGACCTATTTTATTAATACAGCAGCAGGATTTTAAATGGATAGTTCATCCAAAAATGACAACCCTGTCATCATTCACTCTAGCTCATGTTGGTTCAAACCAGTATGTGATGCTTTTGCATTCACCTTCATTATATGGAAGATGAAGCAATGAAAGTGAATAGTGATTGAGGCTGTTACACTGCCTAACATCTCTTTTAACGTCCCACAGAATGAAGACAGTTATACAAGTTTGGGACAACATATAATTAAGCGACAAAGGTGACGTTTTTATTTGTTTTGTGTGTATGAACTATACCTTTAAATCGAGAGCAACCCATCTGTGATGAGTGTTTACTCCCCCCTCCTAACAGATCAGCACTGAAACGATGATGTCACCCCTTCTGGAAATCAACAACATCGCGGTATCGGGCACGCGACCACCGCCAACACAAGCGCACAGAGGCTGTGTCTCAAAAATAGGGTGCTGCCTACCAAGACAGCATCTCTGGGAATCATCGACGCGGTCTGAAAAAAAAAATCGCCCATTTGGAACGCGCCCATGACGCTCATAAATTCTTTTGGAACGCGAGCGATGCCCAAAAATGTTGTTTGTGTAGACGGCTCACTTTGGGATCCAGCCAAAGAAGACTGTGGTTTATCTGTTTGTTTAGCTCGTGTCATTGTCGTTAATGATCAGTGGCTCTCCGGATCGTCCGGTGATCGGTATGTGTACAGACATGTTTCAGACAGACAGCGGTGTTGTGACAGTGAACGGCACTGAGCAAACTCCCAGTTTACGTGGTATATAGTATTCGAATACACATTAAAGCGTCAGTCTAGATACTTTGCTGGTCATTTGAGTTACGAATCGGAAAAACAGGCGAAAGTCATCATTTGAAGATGAAAGCGGCACTTACCCGTATCGCCTCCGCCCGACGGCGCTGCCATATTAGCATAAAAATAGTGAGAACTCTTCCGCTTTGTGACGTCAAGTTTGGGCAAGAAGGAAGTCACGCACCAGTCTGATGCAGCACAGTTCAAATAATATTAATAATAACAACAACAGGGATTTAGAGGAAACGTTCTAGACATGTTATAAAAAAATCTCATGATTTATATTACAATCTAGCAGAATTTCAATGTACTTTTGGCTATATAAATAACAGCCTCTGCACCAAATTGCATATCTTAAAGTAATTAAGGTGTTTTTCCTCTTCGAGTATGAGTTCAGTATGGAATGGACCCTTTTCACAAGACTGTGATGACACGTTTCAACGGTCAATAAACTGTTCTATTTATTTATTTATTTGACTAATATTTCATATGTCAGACTTAACAAGGTTAATCAAACACTAGTAGCCTAACGCTGCTTATTCCTGTTGCTACTTAACAACTATAGTTACTGGTAACTTATTCTGTGTTCAGATGTCAACTATTAATTTCATTCTACTGAATTACAGTTTCTGCTAGTTGTACTTGCTAGTACGGTAATTGTTCATTAGGTACTAGTAATGATTTCACCACAGCATTTATTAGATATATTTCTATCATTGCATTTTATCTTTATTTTTCATACTCCATCAGTGTAGAATCACATAAAAAATTAAATTTCATATTTCTTTCGGCATCCTAGACCAGTGTTTCCCAACTGGGGTGCCATCTGTCGAGAGCAGGGGTGCCGTGTAAAAAAATCATTTTTTAATATTTTTAAATTGCTAAAATGTTCAAAAAAGCATCTATTATATCATATCCATTTCTGATGTCGCCAATAATTTGTAGGGTGCCACAAGTTTGTTAAAATTTCCAAAGGGTGCCGCGACTAAAAAAAGGTTGGGAAACACTGTCCTAGACCATACGTTTACTGTATTTATATTATGGCCAAACATAGGTTATGATATTTATTATAATTTTGAACCTAATTTGTTTTTTTTATTTGAGTCACAGTAAAGAAATATGAGAGATTAAAGAATTCAATACCTTCTCAACACTGAATTTAGACGGTAACCCACCACACGATTTTAAAGTTGTTTAAATGTAAATCATGAAGCGAACACTTTTAGTTCGGCCCCTCCCACAGTGTGTCGTCATGTCCGCGGAAACCTCTCTTCCGTCTGTCTCGCGCATGTGTAGTCCTCTTTACGACTCGGCTGGCGAAGATGGCGGACACACAGGTACGTGAGTCCAAACGGCGTGGTCATGAAAACGCCTTTGATTTCACGTTAAACTTAAGCGCAAAGCCACAAATTCTGGGAGATAAACAGCAAAGAAACCATCATAGAGGCAATCGTGACCAAATGGATCACGCTGAAGATTAGAATATGTGTTTTCCATCCCCGGCTAACGGGTAGGAAGCGTTGTTGAACGGGAAGGCGTGCGGCCTTGCCTCACCCGACCAGCAGAAAGTGGTTTCTTAAACACGCAACTGTTTATTTGGTGTAAAGTTATGATATAAATAAAATAGCTTTATTTTGTCTGCTGACTCCAGCTTATTGAGATGTAAAATAACCGAATTTGTCAGCAAGGCATGGATAGCACATGGATATAATGTTACTAATAATTCTGGAGGAATAGGAGTTCCAAAGATACCGCCTTATGACAGTGCTAATGAAGTTATCTGTGTCACTTGAGTCCAGAAGACATTTGTAGACCCTCTTTGTGGATTTGTACACGCGCTCTGAATGGGCATGCAGCTGCAAATGATGTTTTTCCTCACGATGGTCTTCCAAGTCTCTCAGGCTCTGACGACAATGCCTTACGGCAGCATAAAATCACTGATGTGTTTTGACAGCTTTTTAATTTGGGAAAACACTTGGCTCTGAAACTTACTGGGGTTTGGTGTTGTAGTCCAGAATATCCAGCGGAAACCTTAATCACACTTTTGTGGTCTAACTTTCCATCAAAGCTATTCCAGCATATATATTAGTTTTTAAGCCTTATGACAGAGTCCGTGCTTGTGGTCTTGTTTCAGAACGAGAGGGCTTATCAGAAACAGCCCACCATCTTCCAGAACAAGAAGCGGGTTCTGGCTGTTGAAGGAAGTGGCAAAGAGAAGCTCCCGCGTTATCACAGAAACGTTGGCTTGGGCTTCAAAACCCCCAGAGAGGTGAGCTTGTGTTTGCGTGCCAACGAAACTTTTCATCGCAGGTGATGTTTTTTCTCACGATGGTCTTCCTAGACTCCAAGAGAGCTCTGAGGATACTGCCTTTTGGCAATGCTGATGCAGTTGTATATGCTTACTGTGTAACTTCAAGTTGAGTTCAGATGACTAAAGTTCTTGTGCTTTATTTCCCCAGGCTATTGCAGGCACTTATATTGATAAGAAATGCCCCTTCACAGGAAACGTGTCCATCAGAGGCCGGATTCTGTCTGGTAAGTCTGTGTACTTTGCTGGCTAATTGTAGTTTTATTTAGGGTGCAGATGATGTCTTATCTCACGATGGTCTTCCGAACCCTTTGGGTTTTGAGGATAATGCCTAATGGCTTAACTGATGCTTCCCTGTGTCTCATTTTTGCGTCTTAGTCCTTTTTGGATAATCAAAGATTCTGTATGCTGGCCATTGATATACAACATATGTGAACTGCTGTCACCTTTTTCCAGGTGTGGTAACCAAGATGAAGATGCAGAGGACCATCGTCATCAGGCGGGACTACTTGCATTACATCCGCAAGTACAACCGTTTTGAGAAGAGACATAAGAACATGTCTGTCCACCTCTCCCCATGCTTCAGGTAAAGTTTCTCCATTGGAGCTTTCTTTAGGGGCTGAAACATTTTTGTATACCCTTCTTGTGCATTTGAACACATGCTCTAAATAGGTGGTGAGCTGCAAATGATGTTTTTTCTCACGATGGTCTTCCAAGTCTCTCAGGCTCTGACGACACTGCCTTACGGCATCACTGATGCAGCAGATAATGCCTAAAACAGGGGTCTCCAAACTCTGTCCTGGTGGGCCGGTGTCCTGCAGAGTTCAGCTCCAACCCTAATCAAAAACACCAGAACCAGCTAATCAAGGTCGTACTAGGTATACTTGAAACTTCCAGGCAGGTGTGTTGAGGCAAGTTTGAGCTAAACTTTGCAGGACACAGGCCCTCCAGGACAGAGTTTGGTGACCCCTGACCTAAAGGGTTTCTTTGCATTCAAGGTTTAGAAGTAGTTTAGTTTGTGAGATATGTATAAGGTCTAATTGCTGAAAGTTTTTCTTCTTAAATCTCATTTATCAATGTTCTCCATTTGTTTAGGGACGTGACTTTAGGTGACATCGTTACAGTTGGAGAATGCCGACCCCTCAGCAAGACGGTGAGGTTCAACGTCCTGAAGGTCACCAAGGCAGCTGGAGCCAAGAAGCAGTTCCAGAAGTTCTAAAACTGTTTTAACAATATGGCACCTCTGTATTGTTTGGAAAATAAAATAAAAAATCTGTTCTTTAAATCGTTTTTTTACTGTTGATTTAGTCTCCAAGTCACTTTGCAAAAGCATCCTGCTCTTATATGCCCCTCAACATGCTTTGTTTTAGCCAAGTAATTTTAGTGCTGTACTTTTAACTTTTTTCACCTTTTTCCTTTAAATGTAGTTTTATAGTAGTCACAAATAAATTTGTATGTATTAGTGTGACTGATGTTTATGTAGGTTATGATAAACTCAGCATTGTCGTTTTGTAGGCTGATCGTTAATTCATTCAATGTTAATGAATAATTTAACTTTTATAGCCACGTGAGTTTTTATTTTATGCTTCCCTGTCACTGTCCATCACTACCGAGAGACTTGATTACACATTTAGAAATGTCTATGCATATCCTCCTATTTAATGAGTTCTCTACATCTGATTGTACGTGGGAAAGTCCATTAATATTTCTAAGCAGTTGCTGTAATAAAAACCAGATCCAATTTGAACTCAATGAAGTAGAAAATAGATGCCATTTGCTTAGTCTTCGGTGCTATTAGCACAGAGTGTAAATTAAAGTAACCTCTTATTCGCCATTGCCAATAATCTCGGCTAAATCTGAATGGTGCAAGTATTGGACATTTTTTTCCCTCATTATGCTACTTCTACACCGAAGTGTTGTTGGCCTCATCAATAGTAGTGCAGGACTCCTCCAGCAGATGGTGCTGCTTCACTAGTGCGCAGCGCAGCAACAAAACGCGTCACCTGCATGACGGCGCGAAATCGGAGATTATACGCTGTATATTCGGTGTTTTTCAATGTCTGCGTATCTATTGAGAACAAAACTTTAAACGGATAGTTGCTTACATTAATAGTCTTGAGCTAAACTTTGCAGGACACAGGCCCTCCAGGACAGAGTTTGGTGACCCCTGACCTAAAGGGTTTCTTTGCATTCAAGGTTTAGAAGTAGTTTAGTTTGTGAGATATGTATAAGGTCTAATTGCTGAAAGTTTTTCTTCTTAAATCTCATTTATCAATGTTCTCCATTTGTTTAGGGACGTGACTTTAGGTGACATCGTTACAGTTGGAGAATGCCGACCCCTCAGCAAGACGGTGAGGTTCAACGTCCTGAAGGTCACCAAGGCAGCTGGAGCCAAGAAGCAGTTCCAGAAGTTCTAAAACTGTCTTAACAATATGGCACCTCTGTATTGTTTGGAAAATAAAATAAAAAATCTGTTCTTTAAATCGTTTTTTTACTGTTGATTTAGTCTCCAAGTCACTTTGCAAAAGCATCCTGCTCTTATATGCCCCTCAACATGCTTTGTTTTAGCCAAGTAATTTTAGTGCTGTACTTTTAACTTTTTTCACCTTTTTCCTTTAAATGTAGTTTTATAGTAGTCACAAATAAATTTGTATGTATTAGTGTGACTGATGTTTATGTAGGTTATGATAAACTCAGCATTGTCGTTTTGTAGGCTGATCGTTAATTCATTCAATGTTAATGAATAATTTAACTTTTATAGCCACATGAGTTTTTATTTTATGCTTCCCTGTCACTGTCCATCACTACCGAGAGACTTGATTACACATTTAGAAATGTCTATGCATATCCTCCTATTTAATGAGT